ACGCGGCCTTACAAGGGGGTCTTTCAGGACATGGAGCGTTTTTCAAAATGGTTTTCTGAATGTTGTAGAGGCTCATGTGAGGAACACAGAACCATGGTCCATTTTTCCTGAACGCCCCAGGAATGTCAAAACAGCGGGAAGAAATGGTCCAAAGTTCGATCCTCCGTGATGACAAATTTTTGCAATTTATGTTGGCGCCTCCAAATTGCCGCAAAACACGACAATGACATCTATTCTCGACGATGGCGCCATTTGGCGGCAATCTGGGGGCGCCAAACTATATTGCAAAAATTAGTCATCACCGGGGATCGAACTCTGGACCATTTCTTCACCACTGTTTTGACATTCCTGGAGGCGTTCAGGAAAAATGGATCATGGTTCTGTGTTCCTCGCATGATACAAAATGCAGAAACTATTTCGGAAATACGCTCCATACCTGAAGGGTTTCCCTTGCAAGATGTGGACAGTCCAGACAGAAGTCGGCAAACCTCATTCCCTACATGCACTAGACAATCTCACACTCTCTATCTCTGTCTGCGCTTTCCAATTATAGCTCATTTCCTTGGAGAAGAAGGAAGGTGACTTCACTTACCGTAACATTAAGTGCATTCAACTATTCCTATCATTCTCAAGTTGTTTAGTGACTAACCGGCTCAGCTGAGTGATTAATTGTCATTTGATTTGGCACAAAGCACTCGTTGACTAACGATTCCTTTCTTCGTACTCCATACGATACCTTTGGTCGCGAGAATGGCAACAGTGATTCATCGTAGCGTTTCCGTTTACCCAGCGCGAGACGACGACGATCATCGGTCGTGGAACCAGTTTCTTACCGTGGGTACTTAGGTTGTAACAATCATCGTTCACCACCCGCATTGTCAGTTATACCAAAGTGAAAACATCACTCTCATTTACCAATTGATTTTTTATCTGGCCAGTGTCATCTTCGAGTTCTCCCAGGGTATGTCTGGTCGCTCAAAGCTACTGGAAATTCCTTATTAGGGTCAGAAATAGCGACAGTTTCTTCTTTGCCATTAGGTTGCTCTCGAAAAAACCTCCACATTAATGGGTTACAGAACCGGCTGCACATTTTACTGTTCGCGTCACCATACGTCACTAGTTCTGCCTGCCAGTGACCCACCTATGGATGAGTAATAATTCATTGACATTTCCCTTAAAAGTGAGTCACTTGGGCAGTGGAATGACCGCGCTCCGTCCAGGGGCTCAGGTCACGTGTGTGGAGTTCTTCCTTTCTACTTAGGCCATTTAACACGATTTGAGCTCTGCTACTAGCCTGATATACGCCTTGATACCTGCATTGAGGCCTCCTATCTGGCTACGGTCGCCTTTTTCACTAGCAGGATCAATCATCCAATTCTTGGTCGCAAAATCGTTGAACTTCTATAGCGCGATCTCAAGGAAAAAGCAACGAAAGCACTCCTTCTCTTGATCGTTTCTAAGCAATTTGTCTTGATTTCAAACGTGAAGATACTGTATGCCTGTTCTTCTTTTTCTTCACCTGTTCTATAGTACTCTTTTAGGAAGTTTAGATCCCTCCTAGACTTTCGTATCCGTAGTGTACGTCATTTCCGGAGCAGTTACCCGGAACTCACCAAAAATGGTAAATGAACTGTGTACGAGCAACTTCCTTAATAAACTCCGTGAAGTCACTTAACCACGTTCTCTCAGTATTGTGCTGTCCCGGAGCCTCATCAGGACCTAAATGTTATAAAACACAAAGAGGCACCAAAATTTATTCCAAAAGAATTCCAAAAGTTCACAAAGTTCAAAATCCAAAATTCCAAAAAACACGAAAAGTTTCAAAAAGAACTCCTTTGAAATCTTCTGCTATATTTCGGTGTTTAACACCTTCTTCAGGCATGTGTATGCCTCAGCCAAGGATTTAGCTGCCCTTACGGGAGCCGCGCCGTTGGAGTGGAATTAAGTCTTATTCTTTATTCTAATTTACTTTAGAAATTTAATAATTGTTTTACTTAATTCCACTCCAATGGCGCGGCTCCCGTAAGGACAGCTAAATCCTTGGCTGAGGCATACACATGCCTGAAGAAGGTGTTCAACACCGAAATATAGCAGAAGATTTCAAAGTAGTTCTTTTTGAAACTTTTCGTGTTTTTCGGAATTTTGAAGTTTTTGAATATTTTGCGAACTTTCAAGACTCTCTC